ACACGTCAATTTTACATTGATTAGGTAGAGATTGATTTAACATTGTGATTTTGAAATAGTAAGAGTTTCAACTCTGAAAGTCTAATCCTAAGGCTAAAAGCAGATTATCCAACCAAGTTATGTATGGAATTTTGTGTAGTTAAGTTTTATTTTGTTTGAGGACAAAAAAAGATTGAAGTTTAAGGGTTTAAAAAGTGTATTTTTCACACTTATTTAGAATTTTATTGTTCTTTTGGCAAAATACAACTTCAATTTTGTTATATTGCATCTTGTAGGTAAAACTCAACATTGGATGAAGAATTGGAGAAAAGAACAAAAATGTGTCGAAAAATGGATAAATCCAAAATAAGGGGATAAAAGTCTACACTATAGAATTTGAAGGACTAATTTGCATTAATTTGAAAGATTGGATGAATTGGAGAAATACAAATTAATTGGGCCACATGATGAACAAAGTTAGAGACAATTGGGTTGGACCTTTTTGCTGTGAAAAAAAGGGCTTCACTTTCGGCTGTGGAAGGAAATAAATATAGATGTGAAGCCGGAAGGAAAGGGGAGCAGCCGGGTTGAATCAAATGGAGAGAAAATAGTAGACTGCCGGCTGAATTTCATCAGTAAAACACATCTAGTGGGCGGCAGATTAGTGGGCTGAAATACAATTATATACATTCAATTGCCGACTGATTTCATCAAAAATTCTACACAGTTAGGCATAAATCGACGGCAAATTGGGCGACAGCTTGGAGAAATTAAACATATAAATTGGAGGGATCAATTCATATATATATAGACACATGCCGGTGGTTTGGGGGACAAAACAAAAGGGATTGCCTTGTTGCTTAATTTGGTATATTATATATATATATAAGGCAGCCACTTTGCACAGAAGAGAAAGCAGTCGGCAGCTTTGTGAAAAAATGGGTTGCTGAAAATTCTTTCTTTGTTGCAGAAATTATATATAAACGGACAGACAGAAACGGAAGAAAGAAATACATGCAACGTCACTTTGGAAAATTAATACCGTTGATCAAATATATAGGTGATGTTGTTCTACTTCTATGTGTTTACTCTTAATAAAATGCTAGGCTAAATTTCCCTGTATTGGACGGATGATGAAACTATTTGATTTTTAGTTTCTAATTCGATACCACGTGTTTTTAGTTTAATTTTTGCGTTGTGATTTCATAAATATTTATGATTTGATTTTTTTAATGTTTGCGCACCATTATGACAATAAGTTGCTTATTCGTAGTGTTGAAAAACTCACGGTAAGTAGAACACTGTTTATGGAACACATGGGCAATAAATATTAGAAATAATATTTATGGCGTGTGCGATC